AAACAGTCAAATAATACTCCATTGTTTAAGTGTACCACACTTTGTCCATTTTTTGGTGAGGGTGAATCTATGTTGTTTCCAGTTTCTGGCTATTACAAATAATGCTGCTATAAACATAGATGAGCAAGTGCTCTTGGAGTACGATGGAACATTATTTGGCTGTATGCCCAGGAATTGGTATAGAATATTATCTTAAGATTTGTTACTTTTTTATGTGGTTGAACAGTGGTTTAATGATGAGAACATGTGTTGCATTGTTTTATATTGCATTTGTTTAACTCTGTGAACCTGTGTTACTTTGCCTCTCTAAAACATCTGAAGGTCTAATAAGGAGCTGAATAGCCAATAGCTAGAAAGGACCAAAGATAGATGAGGCTGGCAGACAGTGAGAATAAAATCAAATATTTTAATTTAATAACAATATTTATTTAATTTAATAGAAATTTAATTTAATCAAAAATAGAATGCAAAGTCTTGCAGGAGCAGAGGAGCATGGAAAGGAAAATGCGAGGGGCCAGCCCTGCACCTAAGCTGCAGAGTAAGCGTGAAAGATTATAGAAGTAAAGAAAGGAAAAAGCCAAGAGGCAAAAGGTAGATGGCATAATTTAAGTTAAGAAAAGCTAGCTAGAAACAAGCCAAGTTAAAGCTGGGCATTTATAAAAAATAATAAGCCAAATAAGATTTGGGATCTGGGTAGCAGGCCCCCGAAATAGTAAAGACTCCAAAGAGTACAAAACAGCCAACAACAGGGATCATTATGGCTGAATCTTGAGATAAATCAAATCCCAGTTTTCCGAGAAACTGCCTTATTATTTCCAGAGTGGCGGTACACATGTGCCCTCCCACCAGCAAGAAGGAGTTTTCCCCTTACGCCACATCCTGGTCAGCATGAGCTGTCAATTGTGGTTTTGACCTTAGCCATTCTGACAGGTGTAAGATCGAATCACAGTGGGAAAAAGATTTGCACCACATTCGACAGAAAGTTAACGTCCAAAATATGTATAAAGTATTCAAGAACCTATATATCAACAAACTAACTAATCCAATTAAAAATAGAGTGCAAGTAATAAATCAATAGTCTATATTGTTTAGAAAGTCTTCTGGACTCCCCTGACCAATAATTTAAAGAAAGGTTTCTCCTGGATGGTGCTAGGGGTTTTATTTGTAAAAGGAATTTTTAATAACCATGGTATTTTAGACAAATAATACAATTTCATTTTCATCCTCAGAACACAAGTATAATCTTCATGTTGACACTGTGATGACAATTTTGACAAATACACGACATTATTGTAAATACATGAGATGCCTGACACTTAGCAAGTGTTTAACAAGTGTTCCTAGTAGTTGTCTGTTGGATCATTTTCACAGTTGCTATGGTGACCAGTAGTCACAGACTCAGGCAAATTTTTGTACAATTTTTGATGAAAAAAAAAACTCTCGCTATTTTTTTTTTCAAAACAGAGAGCATGCATTCAAAGGAGCAAATCTCATTAATCTATTAATTAGTACTTCTATGGGCACAAATAGTTTTGATGGCAAGCATGATTTGAATATTTAAAATAGCTGTTAGCTGCACTCAAGAAGAAAGGACGTTTTCTATCACAACAAGTCATCTGACATCATAATTACTCTGTAGGTCAGTGAAAGAAAAAGGAAGTGAGAATTTCATGTTTCAGCCCCAAATCAACTTCCCTAAAAGAAAGCAGGATCGCTGCTTCTAAACAGTAGTGAGCATCACTTTCCTTTGGATTCAACGTTAGATTCATTTCTTTATGAGAATCTCCCCAATGAAACCTTAAATGCTGTAAGTAAAGTGCTCGCTATGGATGGATGAAGACAGGAGTTCTATCTGTAGCTACCACATGAAAATGGCACAATGCTGGAAAATCAGAAACAGGCAGATAGTAGGGACCTGCTGGCCTGCAACCGTGGTATAATTGGCAAGCATCAGGTTAGTGAGAGACCTGGACTCAAGTTAACATGAGAATAAAGCTTTGGTAAATTTGAAAGAAAAGGAAGCTGCCCACTGGTTAGAAAGATGGTAGCATGTTTTAGGAAGGAAGGTGGCCATTTGTTTATGCCACAGCCTGTCCTTCTATGAAGTGTCAAGAACTGAGGCAAGACTTGCAGAAAACTTCCTGGCTCAATCAGCAGACACCATGTTACCCAGGACCACAGCACAACTCTCTGGTTGTTCTGTCTCAGGTCTTGGTCGCTGAAAAATCTCTTGCAATGCAACAGACAAACTTTCTTTTCTAAAAATAATCAAATCTTAAGCTTTGAAGCCACACAGCCTTCCTCCCACCTGTGCTACTGCGCAGCTCTTCTTCTTGCATGTTTAAACCATGTAAAATGTTTTTCATGTGAGTGATCGAAATCAAGAAATGATCTGAGAAGTCAGCCAGCAGGGAGATTGTCTCTCCTGTAATTGCTTGACGGTCCCTTTTGTTCAGTATAATAACATTTTATTTCTACATCTATAGTCGGAACAGCATCTTCTGTTATTAGGCTCAATAGAGAAAAGAAGTTACGCCCACACATGCATGCACATATTGTGATTTTAAAATCAGCTTCCATACAAAGTACAATGTAAATTGTCTGTTATTGTTACACAAACACACAAACATACACATTTTGCCACAATAAGCTCCCATTCGTTCAAAACCAATAATAAATTGTAATATCCAAAATTTGGCATCTGACCTCCAATAAATTACTATCATAAAAATGTTCTTGCCTGGGACCACATCAGTATGGAGATAGCACTTAACTCTCTTAATTATTTTACTATTTTTATGAATTAAAGTTGTGTTCTAAAACCACAGTCTTGTCACTCTGAGAATGTAAGAGTGTTAGCTATCCCTTATTCTCTCAATGCTTCACATTTTAGGAAATGTCTTGGAAGTTATTTTGTTGAATCCACAGCCTTTACTATGATAATTCCACCTTTCATCTTGGCTTTGATTTTGATTAGCAAACATCAAATTAGTGCTTGAAAAAGGTACCAATTTGCATATACATTTCTGTTTGTATGCACGTGTCTGCTTCAAGTTTTGTCATGTTATCTTTGCCATCTCTTTACTGATTTGACTTAGACCTCTGTTCACCTTCAACCATTTTCAATTTCTCATCCACTTTATCAGTCATTAGAGCTTGCTTTTTGTATTCAGTCTTTGGATACTCAAAATTAGTATCTCCATGAAGCTTGTAAATCAGGGAACTCCTCATCTGAGATGGGAAAATACAATTTATCTCTTCCTCTGTGTATATTTTCTCTGCTATTGGGAATATACCTTGTTTCCTTGATGCTTAAAGAAAAAAAAATTCTTAAGAACTTGTGTTCTCTTATACAAGGATACCAGTCAAGCCGAATTAATGACCATTCATTATTTCAGGACATTATGTACACTTTTCTCGTGATTTACTTTTAAACATAAAACATTATAACCCCGAACCCCCTCAATCTCTCTGTTTTAGTCACTAAAATCCTCCAGTCCTCTTCCATAATTTGTCAATTAGAAACTGCCTCTGGCTAATGACGAGTCTGCCTATTTTATTGTCTCTACTGTTATTTCTTTCGGACACTAGCGGTTTCATGTTTGCCCTTGTACTGTATCACCCAATGGGAGCCTACCAGCATATTTTTATAAGCGATGGTGTATTAAAACTTGTTGCATTTGTAAGTTAGAAGGGGCTTGGAGAACATGATATTGCCCTGCCTGTCCTAGACAGGCACGGGGTTTATTTTCGGGCTTTGCTCATAAGCTCTTGCCCATCTTGAATAACAGTGCCTAGTCCACCATTTTTTCCTTTAAATGTCCTTAGAGACCAATAAGCTTGAATATAGTCTGAGAATATGCCAAGGACTGCTATGGCTAGTCCCTGAATTCTGCTGCAGAAGAAAAAATGTTGGGAAATTGTTTTTCCCCAGAGGCTCTGGCTGAGAGCATCTCTCTCTTGATTTCTACCCTTTCTCCATCAGCTAAAGAGCTACCTGGCTCTCAGGAGAACTAAAATGGGCTGCAATTCTAAAACGAAACAGAGGTTCACTGCTAGCAAGGAAGCTTTATGTGAACATTCACGGGCTGATTACAGGATATTATCAACATATATAACATTATTCAGAAAAAGAGTGACATAGATATTTAAGTAAAATACAAACGTTATCATTAAAACCTGTTTCCTGAAAGCAAGTGGAATGTTACAAAGTTGCCAAAAAATTAATGCAACTATTTAAGTTCATTTTAATTACTTTCAGGAAATTTATTTATGGAATAAAAATAAAAATAGGCTAGCAACAAAAATCAATGAGTAGAGAAAGTATCTCACTAATTCATAGACCTTGAGAACTGTATGAAGATATTTCAATTTCAGTACAGCCATGAAATGAGATAAATCTTAAATTAATTACTACTTGATTATTTTCTAAAAATGATCATGTGTACTTCATGCTATTTGCACATTTAAAATAATCTAAAAATGAACAACACGATATTTATATTTTGAAATATATATGCAATTTTGTTGATTATTGAAGCAATAACATCTAATACTAATGCTATTATAGTTAAGAAAGACCTGTAAGACTATAAAACATGTAGTCTGAAGTTCAAGATGTCATACACTCTGTCTTCAAAGCAGTTACTGTTAAATGTGTTGGCATTTCATATTACTCAATAATATGAAAGAAAAATTTACAGAATCAAAAATAATGCCAGTTAAGAAAGAATTACATATGTTACCCAACTTAGGAATTTTTCCTTGACATGTCCAATCCGTTATCTGGACATACATGCTCAAAATTTTATTTCAATTAATAATATATGATTAAATAATCAATAAGTCTTTATGTAATAAAAATAGCCTACCATTCTAGAAGTTTCTTGAATTTTTACAAATATACACACATATACTTTTTAAAAGTTCTTCAGAAAATAATCTTTTATGTTATCAATAACATACATTAATTTCTACATTATAAAAAATAGCTTCCTTACCCATATCTGACATCTCAGGCACAGTAACGATGTATGGCCCATCTGTGAACTTGGGAGCATTGTCATTGATATCTTGCACTTTGATGATGAACTCGGATTCAGGTTCCAGAGGCTTGTTTGTCCTTCTGTCAATGGCCTGGGCATGAAGTACATAGTGTGTTTTCTGCTCTCTGTCCAGGCTTTTGGTTGAGTGGATGTCACCCGTTGTGTCGTCAATGATAAATATAGTCCCAGCGCCTTCCCCAGTGAGGATGTACTTGACAGACCCGTCACCTTTGTCAGAGTTGGAGTGCAGCTGAAAAACAGACATGGACAAAGTCAGCTTGATCTATATTCTGATGACATATGTTTTCTGAAGATTATCAAGAGATTAAGACTTCAGTTTTCTTTTACACTCTGAACTTCATGCTACAACAGCCATTTCCTTCTTTATAGTTTTCTTTACTTGGTATTAAGTGGATACTTTGCCTTGATTTCTCCAAGTTTCAATAACTGTTTTAGAAACTGATAAATATTATGCATTTTAATTTTAGTAGTTTTCATAATTACTGTTGTCTTTCTTCTTAATAAAGATTATGCTGTGTAATATTAAGTTAAGAAATGATATTTCCACCACTCCATCACTATTTTCCATGTCTGGAGAAATTTTCATGAGAAAATGTATAAAAAAATTTAATCACCATTGATTGTTGACATTAGATCTTGAAAGCATAGGAGCAACTGAAATTCAAACTTTCATCAATTTTTCAAAAGCCAAAACATATATCACCAAAGTACTAATTTCATAATTTGTAGAATAAAAAGTGTAATATCATTTCCAAAAAAATGTTGCTATGTAGAAATTATACATTTTGTTGCTATCTTATTTACTTAAGGGACTTGAAAATATTATGACTAATCTAGTTCGTGGAGAAATATTAACTAGTTGGTAATATTGACAAATGATTCTATTTTTCATTTCTTCAAATGATAAAATATATAATGTCAATTTACAAATACTATCTCAGTAGAAAATAGTTTCTGTAAGAAAGATGATTTTAGAATATAAATACATAAATCTGACTAACATGTAAAGATAAAATAGCTCTATGTGTCATTTAAATCTAAGTGAATGAAATTAAATGACATAGCTTCATGTACAGGTAACTCACAATTAAGATTCTACTTCAATTTAATTTGTGACATCAAAATAAACAAGATTCACTGCCAGGAGAAGACAAGGAATTTTGTGAAACCACTGATGTTTATTTTTTGATAAACTGCCTCTGCCTGTGAAGAAATCTGAGTGATTTCCTCCACATGAAATCTTTTTATGAGATTTTATGAATTTAGCTTTTTAAGCACAAATTTAGTTCAACAAATATATCTTCACAATTTGTAAAGCACTGTACATGGACATGCCAGAAGTTATGATTAAATTAAATATAGTTTATCACTGATAATTTAGAAATATTTATAAAACTGGAAAACATTACTAATAGTTACACCAAAATACTACAAACTATAATGGGAATAACATATCAGTTGTTCATAAAATATAGCTTTAGTATTTATGTAACTAAGGTGATTATCTCATTAAGGAAAATTTTAAACTTTTAGAGAGCTTGATTAACTTTTAAAATCATTACTTCAATGTAGCAATGATAAAATAATAAATTTTATTAGGATTTAGTTCACTGATTAATAGTTATATAATTTTGATGATAACTGATGCTGAAGGAGCAAAGTGAATCATTGAGGGCTTTCCTTCCCTGTTCTAGCCTTTCTCAGTTATCCATTTCTACTTTCCAGGTTTATTCTGCAATAAAGTTTGAGCCTGAGAAAACTATACTTGTTCTACTGTGGATTTTTGTTTAATAAGAGATTTGTAAGTACCCAGAGGAATCACAGTATGTATATTAGGTTTTAAGAAACAAGGAATGAGAATACAGGGGGAGGAATGTATGAGAGTATTAGAACTAAGAGAAAAGAAAGGATACTCACACGTGGGTGTGTGTTGCTTTGAAGGAACAGAACACAGAAAATTTTGGAAACAAATAAATATATGTTTCATTACCTAGGTCTAGGCAATGGTAACAGAAATATTTTAGTTTGTCTACGGTTCACAATCAAACTTAACTGAAAAGAATTAGGAGTAGATCATGAAAATTATAAATATTCAAAACATAGAACACTGATTTTATAGATACTAAAATGTTATTCATTTGTCTAAAATTTTCAAAGTATGTCAGGGAAAACTATTTGGAAAATAGCAAAATGTTTAGTTGAAAAAAATTACAACTTATACTGAGTTATTTTTCTGAAAATAACTCTTGACTCCACAATGACTAAACTTTCTCTGGGCTCTGCAACCGGATTAAAACTATGCTTTGAGTGACCTGCTATCCAATGTGTAATTAGCATGTAATGTTTAGTATGCCATTAAGAATAAAAAACAATATAATCAACCTTGCTATCCTTGGATTTCTCATGCAATTGTCTTTTAAAACTTCAGCTAATTTTTAAATGTCTAAGTACTCTCCCATGCTCTTAACCCCAAATTTGTGTGTGTGTGGGTTTGTGTGTGTGTTTGTGTGTGTGTGTGTGTGTGTGTTATGGTAATCATTTGATAAAAGTTTTCAATATGTTGAAAGCATGCTTAAACAAACTATCATAAATGTCAGAAGTACTGGGTGATAAAATCTTTTTGTAGCTTCAGGTGCTTTTCTGCGTCAGAGGGTGTCTATTAGTGTTTCTATTGCTGTGACAAAACACAATGACACAAAGGCAAGTTGAGGAGGATAGGATTTAATTTGGCTTACAGTTCTAGATCATAGTCCATCACTGGAGAATGTCAGAATAGGAACTGAAGCAGAGCTGGAATCAAGAGGAAGGAGCAGATGCAGGGGCCACAGAGAGGAGCCGATTACTTACTTGCTTCCGCTGGCTTGCTCAGCCTACTTCTTTTTTCCCTTTTTTCCCCTTTTTTAATTGATTTTTATTGAGCTTTACATTTTTCTCTGCTCCCCTCCTTGTCTTTCCCCTCCCCTTCAACCCGTTCTCAAGGTCCCCATGCTCCCAATTTACTCAGGAGCTCTTGTCTTTTTCTGTTACCCATGTAGATTAGATCTATGTACGTCACTTTTAGTGTCCTCATTGTTTTCAAGCTTCTTTGGAATTGTGAATTGTAGACTGGTTTTCTTTGCTTTATGTTTAAAAACCACTTATCAGCCTACTTTCTTAAAAAGCCCAGGACATAGCGCACAAGGAGGACTACTGAGATCTCAAGAACAATGGCAATGGATTTTTGATTCTACTGGACCTATTGGTTTCGTGGGAGCCTAGGCAGTTTCGTGGATGCTCACCTTACTAGACCTGGATGGAGGTGGGTGGTCCTTGGACTTCCCACAGGGCAGAGAACCCTGATTGCTCTTTGGGCTGACGAGGGAGGGGGAGTGGATTGGAGGGGAAGGGGAGGCGGCGGTGGGGAAGAGACAGAAATCTTTAATAAATTAATAAATTTAAAAAAAAAAGGAAAAAAAAAAGCCCAGGATACCAGCTGGGAATGAACCACCGACAAAAGGCTGTGCTCTCCCCCATTGATCACTAATTGAGAAAATGCCTTACAGCTGGATCTCATGGAGGCATTTCCTCAGCTGAGGCTCCTTCCTCTGTGGTGACTATAGCTTGTTTCAAGTTGACACACAAAAACAGCCAGTACATTTGAGTTTAGGAAAGAAATGTTTTTCTTTGTATAACTCTGTAAGGCATTCTGTCATTCCTTTCTCAGTCCCTGTTTTATATGTTTCTTAACAAATATAGATCACAATCCCTTTATTACAGATACAGACGTATACAGAGCACAACACCCAGGCAACATGTAAAGACAGAACAGACACATAATACATAGGCCACAGACAGCATTGACCACAAACTACAGACTAACAGGAAATATGAGTTAAAAAGTGGTAAAATAAAATATGGGGTCCAGGCTTGTTCATGTTAATCAAGAGAATATTACTCTCTATTTTTTTAATATGGCACTGAAACATTTTAGTGCCTTCTCTAAGTTTTCTTTATTACCTTAACCAACATATTTATTAAAATAACAATAACAAGGTGTTACGCAGGATGAGGAATAAATGATTAGACTTATGAAATTTTGTGAAGGAGGTTATATTGTCATTCTTGTAGTCCGCTAGTAGTGCAGAAGCTTCTTGTATGTCTGATCGCACAATAAACAATGGTAATCAGTTCTTCTTGAACAGAGAAAAGAGAACAAAGGGCAAAGAAGAAAAACAGGAAGGTAGTCACCCAGAAAATAGCATCAACAGTTTTCCTGCATTACCTTCATAGAGTGTCTTTTTTTTGGTGTTAAATAGAAACATATGGCCCTCACAAAGCTAATGTGGCACACATGAATTCTCCCTGGAAAACTATTTATGCACACTAGACCACATTAGGATCACGACCTAAAATTTTATCGTTTTCACTCCAATGCTCAGTTGCTCTCTGGGATAATATGTGATTCCTTAGGGATGAACAATTTTAAAAGGTTAAGGACACAGTGGCAGAGTCATTAATTTTGAAAGTTGCTTTGAGTTAGGACTTCAAGCTCTATTACAAATGTGGGCCATTGAGTTAAAAGTGCAATATAGTATGTTGTGTAACATTTGTATAGGGGAAATGCTTGTCTTTATATTTCAGAGAAGAAGAAATAAAGGGCAAATATCCAATGTTAACAATCCATCATTATCAACCCAACACTGTTTTTATAAAAAGTACTGGTGAAACAATGTGGGATATAAAAATCACAATGATTTGAGTCCTTGACAATTACTAAATATAGCTTTAAATTGTTATATTTTTAATTAAAATTTTTGCATGTAAAGTAATATATCCTTGATATATTAATGAATTTATGTTATCCCAAACACTTCAAATACTAGAAATATCTTGCTACCTCTATACCAGTTTCTCTGTGAAAAAAAGATACAATAATTATATCTTAAAATTAATTATCAAATTTTATTATAGAATATATTTATTCAATCAAAAAGTAAGTAACATAGTAAGTCAAAACCTAACAATATTTTTAAAAAGATTGGAGGATAAGCAATTAGCTTGATAACATCAATATGAAAAGATATTTTGAGTAAATATTTATCATTTAAATTTCATCAAATTTACATTTATTCCTGGAGAAGTAAACTAATAAACAAGGAATAGAAGGGCAGGGAAACCAAAGGGAAATTATACAGAATATTAATCTTGTAGGACAATGGTTTTGTACCCTGTAAAGATTTGTTACTTGTA